CAATTTCAATTAAATCAATCTTTTGTTATTAACCTGTTCATATTCCTCATTAATCACTTTTGGTTCTTCATGCCTTTGAAACCACATCATATATTTTGTATGAAACCTCCAACTTTGTTTCTTTAGAGCTTTTGCAGCCAGGTACTGGCCTTTAGAACCTTCCATATAATAAAATATGAAGAATAACGTTTCAGTAGAAAGACGTTGAAAGAATTCCACAGTATCAGAATGAGGAAGTTGGACCTGTTATATAAAATACAAATCAAAAAAATAGAAAAAAGAACTAAAAATTATATTATTACATTTTCAAAAAATAAATAATATGATACCTGTTGATAATAAGGAGGTGTAGGACATAAATTTCTTGGTAAATATGATCTTAAACGTTCAGAATCAGATGGATGAGGCATATGGTAGTAAGCAGCCTCCATCATCTGGAACTGCAACTGATGTTCTTTCTGTAGAGGTACTGGTCCGAGTGGCGCAACACCGAGTAGAGGAGGAATGTGTGCTTCCGAAGTAGCATTGCTGTTATTATTGTTCGCCTTAGCACTGTCAAAGATGTTTCTGTTCGACTCGGACGGCGGTATTTCCAGACCTGCTCGGACAATTACTTGTTGGGCTATAGATTTCAAAGAGGACATGCCATCAGGAAGCTTAGGGATGAGACCATTGGCAGTGGATGGCGCTGGCGAGCAGGAATTTGCGGGCAAAGGTGAAGATCTACTGCTAACTGATGACTGAGGCGAAGAAGATGGTGGAATCGGCGTTGTCATTTCCGTTTCACTACTGTGATTCTGATTTTGTTGATTATGCAACACATGTGTCGTCTGTATAGGCGCTGGATTATTGTGCTGCTGCGAGATCGTTTGTGGCACATTCGAGGTAACGCTAGACGTGGACGATGATGATAATAAACCATTTTCACTACTATGAGCTGTAAATTTTAGAAAATATAATCTTATTGTTAATGATTAAACTTGTTTGATAATTGACATATTAAAGAAATAAATTATATATATTTTTATAACTTATAAATACTTACAAGATGTTTTACTAGAGGTAGAATGGATGGCTTGAGAATTAGTATGTGAAGCAGCTACTGTAGCAAAATTGCCGGCATTAGTTGTAGCAATGTGATTACTTGTAGAACTAGGCGAGCTATGGCTAGGTGTCATGGGAATGGTTTTGCTTGGAGTGCTGCTTGATAATAAATTCGATTTTATGGTGGCAGTGCTTCCCGTGGTTGGAATGCTCGCCTGTGAATTTAATAATGGCCTGACTGCTGTTGGTTTCACAGGCTGAAATTAAAATATATAATAAAAATTTGTTCATCATGTATTATTATTATTGTAGTTATCAATATAGTATATAATAAAATATCAATATTATGATTTTATATAAAATTATATACCTTTGTTTTTTTATCATTATCTGTGGAACTATCACTTGAATGATTGTGCATGGTAGAACTTAATGGAGGTGATGGTATAGGTGAAGTACCAGAATTAGTTGAGGTTGGTGTACCTCCAGTCTCATTGCTATTATTACTATCTGTAGTTGCTGATGAGGGAATACCAACTCCAGACAGTTCAACTTCATCGAGACCAATAATATCATCATAAATATATTCATTTTCCTCAAAATCAGGTTCCTGTGAGGATTCGATATAATACTCTACATCATCTTTTATCCTCTTAATCTGTGAAACAAATTAGAAAATAAAAATTAAATAATTTTCAAAAATTTTTTAAAAAAAAGCAATCAAATGTTATAGTACATAACTTACAGTGTTAACTTCAACAGACATATTATCCAACATACGTAACAATGTTTCCAATTTACGAATATGATAACGATGTTTATCAAGTTTTGCTTTTAATTCATCCATTCTATCTTGTTTATCTTTGTCTAACCTTTTTTTCTTTCCTGCGAGTAATGATTCTATCTCGGATTCAAATGTATCCAGCTACATTAAAATTATCAATATTTTGTAGTTTTTTAAAATAATATTTCCTTGTTTATTTAAAAATTACCATATTTTATACCTGAAGATTCAAAGCATCTATAGAATTTGCAAGCCAATTACTAACTTCTTCCCGTTCTTTTTGAGCTGGATCAAGTTTTTGAGCTGCTCCTAAACCTTCTTTTGAATAAGCTTTTGTTTTTGTTTCTCTTTCCACAACCTTAAACCTTTCCATTTGCTAAAAAAAAATATATATACAACAAATGATTTATGATAATTCTAATAATATTAATTCTTTATTAGAATATAATACTTACAGTTTCAATTAACTTCCTATATTCAAGAAGTGTGCTTTTATCCTTAATTTCACCTGATGCAAGCCAGGTTTTAATTTGATCACGTAACCTCTGGAGTTTTTTGATTTCCTTCTTGAGATCTGCTTCATATTTCTCCTTCTGATTGCTGTTTGTAGCATTATGAACTTTTTGCCAAATATCTTCAAATGTTTCTACACCTTCTGTTACTTTTTTAAGGCACCGATCTATTTCACCTGGAATTAAAAAAATATATTAATTAATATAATAAAGTTACTATTCAATAGCAAATTGAAATTTTTAAATTAAATGCAAAAGCAAATCATTTCATTGAAAATTATTATTATTATTATAATAAAATTGTTTATACTTCAAATAACATAAATAATTGGTTATAATATACTTCATATAAACACTAATTATATTTAATGTATTATATGTAATAAAATGCATCACATAATAATTATTTCAATGAGTTATTCATACATAATATTTAAATATTATGATTTATCAACTTATAATAATAATGGGTTCAATAAAATATAATTCAAAATAATGAAAACAATTTATTTTTGATTAAAAATTTTTTAAATTATCTCTAAAAGAATATAAAACTAGTGATTTACAAAAACAGTTTATTAAGCAATTTATGTTAAAAAGCTTATATCGATGAAAACTTTACATATGTTATATTTTGAATTGTTGTATATGTATTGTGCAAATAAAATGTATAACTATTTTAAAGGTTATGCTGACATAAGGAAGCGGTATTAAACTCTTATAAATACAGTACACGCAAGAAAAAATAACTTATACTAAAGAAACATATGAAAAGTTGAACTGAATACACTAGTTCATTATACTCTGGCAACCTGTACCAACTGTCAGGCATAGAAGCCTGCATGCGAATAGATAACGCGAGTTAAAAATAGGCTACTACTGATCGCAAATACAAACGTTTAAACTTGCAGAGAGCTGCAGAACGCGAAAGAAGAACGAAAGCAAAGTTGTAGTAGTGGGCCATAACAAAATTTCTAAATGTAAACATGCTGGAAACATTTTCTCCTCACCTTGCAACTTTCTCGTCGCAGCCATGGCTATGTAAACATGTGATACAATAATTCATGCATAGTCTAGACGTAATGGAAAAAATACGGTACAATTTTACGGAACAAATAGTCGTTGAACTATTATTCCCTGTATAATATGTGAGGCTCGGCCACAAGATGGCTTCCGTTTTCAAATGACAACGTCCGACCGTCCGTGAATGAGGTGCGTTGATACTAGTTCCGTTTTTCCGTCAATCTTTTAATCTTGATAGTGTAGAATATGCGCTACGTTTGGTCGAAAATCGACAGCACATAAAAATACACAAAAAGTGATAGCATCAACAAATGATATATATGAAATACTGAATAAATGAGATGGTATATTATGCATTGGCGCATTCACATTCTACCTAACGCACATACTTAACATGTTCGCGTTCATAAACCAATTGAAATTTGGTTGAACCTTTCGATGCATTTACAATAATTACAATGAAAATGTTCTTTTACATGTTTTTCGAATAAAAAATATAGATTGTATTTTATTTCAACCGGTATTCTAAAAAAACTTAAATATTAAATGATTTATTGATTAAATTATTTAGATAGAACAATAATAAATAAAATTTATTAAATTATAATACGTTACTTGTACGTAAGTTTTCTGAAATTTTTTTATTATTGAGTTTTTATTTCATAAATTTAGATTAAAACTTTGCATATTTTGAAAATATTAGATATGAATGAATTTATATATAAAATTATATAAATATATATATAAATTAATTTGATTAATTTAAAATTCTATAAAAACTATTTGAATAAAATTTATATTATATAAATAAATATATGTAAATAAATTTACTTTAATAAATAAAAAAAAATGTAACATTTTATTATAAAAATTAAATTTAAATTTTAAATTTAGATAACTATTTAGATAACTGTAAAAATAATATCAATTTCCTTATTTCAAAATATAATTATTTAATATATCATAATTTTTTATAATATATTCTATTTACCTATATTAATGTTATATTAATGACATATGTATATTTTTTGTAGAATATTTTTAATAGAATTAAATAATGCATTACACAATTTAAAGTTTATAATCAGTTTTTATTATTATTATACTATTATTAAAAAATTTGATTAATGATTAAATATTACATCCAATAAATATTATATTATTTGCAATGATTATTAAAATAAATTTAAATTAAAAATTAATTTACTTATTTAAAAATTTTAAAATATACAAAATGTCATTATTTTGATAAAAATGTTAATATTAATGTATAGGAATTCTTGAAATAATTAATATAATTAAATTTATTAAATAATAAAATTCACATAAAACATCGCATAAAACATTGTAAAACATTTAAAATATGTTTTATTAGTTTAAAAGTGAATTATAAACTATAAAATATTGTTATTGGTAAATTCATATCATATGTTTTATTATATTTGAAAAATTTATTTTATTTCTTTTCACATTGCAAACAAAAAGTATAAGATATATATAATATATATATATATATATAAAATAAATACATTTTATTAATGATTTGTATATTAAATATATTATTTCGAGTAAATGATGGAACAAGAGAAATATTTAAAAAAAAAATAATTATAAGAAATTTTCATTTTAAATTGGTTTACTTTATCAATAATTTGATAAAGATTAAAATAATATTAATAATATTTAAGTATTTGCGCAGAAATAAATTGACTTTAACCGAAATTTAACGCTTCAAGTTGCTGGCACAGGTTAAGAGTTAGAGTGGGGGGTATCACAGGCACTACGTTGGGCGTATATGAATACGTCCACGAGAGATGCCGTCGTTTCGTGTTTCGAGTTTTTGCACAACAGCCGTGGGCCAAGCAACAACGCACTCGCGCTCAAGTCAAATCACATTCTTCAAGAAAGATTCGAAGTTCTATATTGATTATTACAAAACTGAATTACTGCAGTCTCCGTTTCTCTCAATGGTTTTAGCCTAACCTCTTCTATTGCAAACTACAGTGGAACATGACAAAAGGTGGCATCACTGGGGATGTGTTGGAAGCACGGACAGAGCTGTGCTCATTGATATGACGCCATTTTACTAACCTTTTCGGCGCGGATCGCGACGATCCACTTAAGGTGCTCCACTTCGTACCACTTCAAGAGCGTTCAATTTTATCGTTTACATTTTACAAACCATACACGCTCTTTCGTAATTCCAAGAGATTCGTTCAAGCCGGATTTAACCGGAAGGTATGCAACCCTCGTTGCACTGGGATCATTCTTATGTGCAACAAAAGCTTACAGCAATACTTTTTTGCTGAAATTTGTTACTACGGCATCCTGGCTTCGTGTGTACTTTCATTCGTCTTATTTTGACACTAATTTCGTCGTAGTAAACTGTTTTTGTGGGAACTTTGGGGCTGTGTCATCGTGGAGTGATGATCACTGCGAAGGGCTTCTTGCATGTCATACCATGTGCTCAATTTTGTAATACCCTTATCAGAGGTATTATATTACTTGCTTATTTACCTTATCAAGTATAATTTAAACCTAAAGTTTAATTTTCTTTGATTTATTATCTGAATAATGTATAATGTTTTTAAATTTATGGGTTGTCTTTTGAAGCCAATTATTGTTTACTTTTTTAAATTGTCATATAATAGTTTGAATCATATATAAAATAATTTTAAATATTTAATTGTTCTCATTCTTATAATTATATTCTTAAAAAATTAAGATTTTTGATAAATAAATATAAATAGGTAGCTTTATAAATTTATAATAATGTTATTATTATAAAACATTATTTCTAATTTTTGTTTGAAGCCAATTATATTGTTTACTTTTTTAAATTGTCATATAATGTCATATAATCAACTATAATATATAATTTAAACATTTGATAAAATACTTGATGCTGTAGTTACTTATTTGCTTAAAATAATTTGACATTCATTCGATTATATTATAATCTTTTTTTTTATTAATTTCATATGATTTAAAAAATTGTTATAATTTTATATAAATTTAATTATAATGTGAAAAAGTATTTCTTTTCTATTAAAATATTTTTATTATTAGAATATTCTTTGTTAAAGTTTATTTTATATGTTGCAGGTAATATCACTGTAGCCAAGCAGTGTTATTATGGAAGATGAAGATGGTGAAAGTAAAGTTATGGATATGTGGAGCATTTTGGGAAAACAACAACTTAAAGATACTTCTATTGGAAATTCATTGAAGTCATCTATTGACAACACATATACTGATGTAATAGAAGAAGAAAAGCAATTATTGCAATATAATTCTATTACAACCAAAGATTCTCCAAGCAAAAATAACAGTACAGGATCAAAAATTGTGTTTAAAGGTTTTAAAAAGCGTATTTTGGCACAAGCTCAAGAAACACAAACAAATACATTAAAAAATATAGTGCAAGAACAACAATCACCGCATTCTAATGTCTCATCCAAAAATAATAAAGAAAAAAGGGCAGAAATCAAACGAGGCAAAATAACAGAATATGCACAATATTTGGGTCTTCAACCTTCATCAAAAAATAAGTGTTCAAAGTGTCAATCATCATCAAATTTGTGTTCTTCATTAAAACAAAGTTCGTGTTCTTGCAATTCCACAATGACACCAATGCCCAGCACATCAGAATCATCTACAGTGCCACATTCTCCCAATTTTAAAATTACAAGAAAAGTTTATCTTTGTGCAGCATGTGGCACATATTTTGAAAATTGGAATTTATTTTTACATATGAGAGATATACATAAACGTCATATATGTTTATTTTGTCTTGGAATGTTTGGTCAAGCTGAAAGATTATCACATCATTTAATAAAAAAACATAGTGTTCCAGAAATGGCGTTTACATCTGTTGAAGATTTTTATGGTGCTTTCAAAGGATCGTGTTATTTAGTTTGTTGCACATGTGAGAAAGTTTTTTCAGAAACAGATAATTTTTATAATCATTTTTGTTCACCAACATCTAAACAAGATATTACTACATCTATATGCACATTATGTAGACAAACAGGTTCACATGCAAGTACTTGCAGTTTAGCTGTTGAAACTAATAAAGAAATAAATTCTGGTTTACCACCTACTACACAAACAGGGGTAATATCAACTAATGTATTTGATAAGGATGTAAATAGTGAAAATAAGACTGTCCCAAGGAAATTAATAAAAAATAATAGATCTAAACACATGGAAGATATGTCAAATCAACAAAAAATAATTCATGCAAAAAAGACCAATAATAAAGTTGCTGTATCTCAGTCAAATGAGAGCCAAGTAATTGATGAAACATTAAACAGGGATGAGAATTCTCAGAACTTAATAACACAAAATATAGCTAAAGATACTATTTCAGAAACTATAATGGAAGTCTCAAAATATATTGAAGAATCTAATGAGAAAAAGGAAGAAACAAATGAGAAAAAGATTTGTCAAAGTAATTCAGAACTAAATTCTGTTAATTCACCCAGCCATAATATGCCATATGATAGTGTAACAGAAACTATTATGGAAGTATCACGATGTACAAATAATGTAGAAAATCTTGATGATAAAAATAAGAAAGAAAATGTAAAAGATGAAGTTTCATTGAATGCATCTGATAAATCAGAAATGGATTCTAATGAAACAGCTAAACTTGATACAAAATCTTTAAGCTCAACTGAAGAAACTAATACTAAAATAAATGATATAAATTCTATAAATCAAGAAGTAGAAGAAAATATAGTGAAAGACAAAATGGAAGAAACTATATTAAAAACAGAAGACTTTCAATCTCATATATCTGAAAGTCCTGTGCATAGTCCAGTTAGTAGATCATTATTTAGTCCTCAACATGAATCAAATATATCTGATCTCCAGTCCAAAGAAAAAATTTATGAAAATGATAACAAAGAAAATTTTGATGCACCTAATGAATCTCAGACTTCAGTATCATTCAATACCAGTGAAACTTCTGATAGAAGTTTGGTTATAAAAATATGTACTAATAAAAATTCTCAATTTTCTGTTGCAACTAATAATGATAGTGTAGAAAATGATATTAGTAGAAAATCAGAAGAAAATAATAATGCAGAAAGTTCATTAACAGAAGAAAAGGAATCTAAAATTTTTGAAGAGGAAAGAGATAATAGTAATAATTATCAAGTGAATGATGAAGACAGTGATTCTGATAGTTTCAAATTGGCAGTAGTAGATAGCAATCCTGAAGAAACTGAGGAAGTTGAAGAAAGTAATGAATGTAAAACAGAAACAGAAATTAAAATTGAATCAAATATAAATATTGGAAATAATGAAAATCAAATTGAAACTGCTGGTGAAAAGACAATTAATATAGATACAAATGGAAAACAAGATGAAAACACAAAAGATAATAATCAAAATCAGATTGAGATTTCAACACAATCTCAAATGCAGCCAAGTGATGGAATAATTTTGGCTGGAGAGGATGTTCCTTGCATTGATCTTAATGTTGATGGTACCTTAGATAGTATAGAGATAGAAGATTTATTAAAACGTTGTATAGAAGCAGCCAGTCCTTTTTGCGTTTATTGTAATCACGCACGTCATATAGCAGTTAATGGTAAACAATTAGGATTACATGTACTTGCAGAACATAAATTTCAACCTCAACATCCTGCCATAATTATTCAACCAGAACAATTTATTAATAGAGTAAAAAAGTCTCTTGATGAAATAGATTCTCATTTCTTTAATTTAGATTCTTATAGTAGCACAAATGGTACATATAATATTCCAAATGTAAGGACATATGAATGCTTTCATTGTAGATTCCATTCTGCCATACATAAAGAACTTTATCTACATAACAGAAAGATGCATCAAAAGACAATTTTAATTTGTATTATGTGTAAATCCACTTTTTATAGTTATAGTGAATTACTTTGTCACTTATGTCCTGGTACATACTCTCCAAATATTAATGTCAGATACAGATGTTGTCTTTGTCCTATGGCAAATCTTCCATCTGCATTTAGATTAATGGTACATTTACGTAAAAGACATCATGCATGTGATGTTTGTTTAGAATCCACTGGAAATCAGCAGCGTCTTTCCAACCATGTTTGGAAACATAAACTTCATCATTTATGCTATAGATGTGGTATTGCATATAGAAACAAACCAGATATCACAAAACATTTATTTTGGAAGCACGGAACAGAAAGTGTATTATGTAAAAAGTGTTTACAAAAAAAGTGGCCACATATTTATCACTTTTGTATACCACCTACAGCTTTTGTTTGTGAAGAATGTGGTTCTAGTTTTTCACGAGCTGTCGCATTGAAAGTGCATAAAAGATTACATTCCGGAGATCATCCATATGCTTGTAGCGAATGCTCTGAGCGTTTCATTTCTCGAAAATTATTGACCAAACATGAAAATGCTCATAAAGAACCACCACCAGTTAGTACAAATTTGACAGAAACAATGAATCAACAACCAGCGAATAATGAAGAAAAATTAGATAAAGAAAAATCAGGTATAAATGATGGTAATACAAATGTTTCTGAGTCAACAAAAGAAACTAAAGAACCTGTGAAAAAAGTTGTTGATGTTTACGATTTACCACCATTGAACTTATCTTCTGAAAGTGATACAGATTCTGAGGAAGAAAAGCAAGAAACTAAAGAATCTGACAATACTGAAAAATTGAAACCAACCGAAGAAAATGCAATATCTTCAGATCAATCAAAAATCGTAACTTCTGAACCTGTTGCAGACAGTATAGTAGAAGTTGAACAAAATGAAGAAGAGAAAAAACAAGGGGCAGAAATCATGGATGGTATCTGGGATAATTTTAAAACGTATGCAGCTAGTTTAGAAATGAAAGAATCAACCAATAATTTTGCAATCAAAGAACAAGAGCCAGAGACCGACGTAGCGTTCCTAAGGAGTATAGTGTTGGCCGATCACGATTATTGTGTCGTATGGTCGGATAAAGAAAAGGAAAAGGATGCAGCGTCAAAAGCAAATATCAAAGAAGAAGCAAACTTAAGCGGGGACCAAGATTATTTAAACAAAATGCAAACAAGTCCATTGGACAGTAACGGAATTCAAAATACTAACGAAGATGATCCGAATAAGAAAAAAGCAAAAAGTCCGAAGAAAAAGAAACAAGGTGGAAGTACGTCATCGAGTGATTCATCAAGTGATAGTGATTCGAGTAGCTGTTCTTGCGGAACTAACTGTAGCTGTAGTAGTTCATCTTCCGGCAGTTCTTCTAGTTCTAGTAGTAGTTCTGATTCGGATAGCTCTACTTCGGAAGGTTCACCGAAAAAACAATCTAAACGAAAAAAGGAAAAAGAAGGTACACAAGGAGCGGAAACTGAGCTTGAGAACAAGGAAATTTCTCCAGATAAAAATGGATCGACATCGGTTCCTGCAGAGCCAGTTTGTCCGCCGCAACTTTTATTGAGAGAATCTGATTTAGAAACCGAAGAAACGGAAACGGACGAGGACTTTTATGATGAACATCCACAACAACTTGCGAATAAATTACTCGCGGAGAAACGAAATCAATTAATGCTTCTTGCTGCAGTTGCTCCAGCTTCTACAGAATCAACGATGCCGTTGAATAACGGTTTGACAGATACAGATATTACGGTTCCTTCTCCGGACACGATACCTGCCGCCACGGAGGAGGATCAATCCCAACAAAAGAAAAAAGTAAAAACAAAAAAACGAAAGAAAGGAGAAAAGGCAAAACAACGTAATGTGACGCCAACTGTCGAATCCATTAAATTAAACATTCCTAAAGCTTTTTACCAAAATAATCCGGGTTATTCGGCTTCTTCGCCAGCGTTGATGCAATCAAATATAACATCAAATATGTCTACGAATGATGTGCATGCTATGAATGCAGGTGTCGAATCCCAAGCGGGGATAATAGGACAAAATATGGGTGGAAGTGGTTCAGAAGCAGAAAATAAGCGATCATCGAAACGGAAACGAATACCAAAACGATTTTACGGTGATTCTAGCGACGACGAAGTAGAAAAACAACCCACGGTAAAGTGGAGAAAAGTAGACACACCTTCTTTCACGCCGGTATCGACCGTAAAAACATTGCCACCGAGATTGCCTTTTGGCGGGAAGAATATGGCTTACCGACCGATGGAAAATCAGCCAGAGAATGTAGGAGTCACTACTGCTTCTCCTACCGAATCGGAAGAGCCCGCGGATAGTAGCAGTGATTCTAGCGATTCTGAAGTAGAATCCAGTCAACAAATGCAGACTCATTTGACGGAAAGTAACCCACCAGCACCAGAGCGACCAGTTAATTTGTATTGTTATTGTCAGTGTCCGTATGACGAAGTGTCAGAAATGATAGCCTGTGATGCCGAGGACTGTCGTATTGAATGGTTTCATTTCGAATGTGTCGGTATTATGGTGCCACCGAAAGGCAAATGGTATTGTCCAGACTGTCGGAAGAAACATGGAATCGTGCAAAACGAGGACTATTTTGACTGATAGCAGCGGGTCGTGTCTGCGTGTTGAAATTTCTATCTAGGCATTCTTGACAATGGATATTCAATTTTCTCTCTCTTACATACATATATTCGGCATCTATCTATTCATCTATCATCTATCTATTTATCTATCTATATTTCTCAGTCTTTTAAAACTTTTTTAAGTAATTTAACGAGGATATGTTCGAGAATCGCTTCGAATATCGTTCAAAGTGTAAAATATTGTTTTATGGTCTTTTATTTAATGGTTTGACGAATTCTAGAGACTTGAAACGTTCCAATATTGCAATTTTTTTAAGATTAAAATTAAAAACATTAGGGTTTAAGCTTAACCCGCAATGGAGGAATATATAAGAAATATATGATACATCATTGAAATATTGAATTTGTATTAAATATCTTTCTATGCGAACAAATAGTCATAGCAATTACGTTATTTCTAATTGGAGTTAAAAATATTTATAAGAAAAATTATTGAATAATCATGTAAATGAAATACATTATTTATGAATTAAAAAGAAATCTTCTTTGAACAGATTAAAATCTTAGAATAAGATTAAATTTTCTTATTATAATTGACTATTATAATATTTTAGTAGAAAACAAAAAATTGAAAATTTTGTAAAATTAATATTCATGTTATTGTTATAGACAGTTTTATATATATATATATACATATATATATAAAATATAAAATATATTATATATATATATATACATTATTTTCCATCATGAATTTGAATTTTGCAGAAAATTAAAAGTGTCAACTTCAACTTAATCAATCATTATTATCATTATAATTAACCATTTCGTTAAAACATCTATGATTATTATCTATGATTATTTAAATTAATTTGATTTAAATAACTTAATTATTTAAATAATTCTTAAATATCTTCTCTAAATTTTTTTTAGTAAAATATTTTTTTTTAATATTCAATAAATTAATTAATTATTTCATCCTTGCTATGACTTTGTAAGTATCTAGATATAAAAAATAATCACAGATTGCATATAAATAATTTTCAAGTCTCTTAAAAGGCATTGTTATTTTTCAAATATTTATATTTTTAGAATTGCTTATCGCTTTTCAAAATATTTACAAAAATTGTTGCACGGTTAAGAGTAATTTTAATAGCAATAATCTTTGATTATATATTCGAATACGAATTGATAAGAAAAAAAATTCTAGCAGAAGTGGGAGAGAATTGAGTAGCCATCGCTATTCTCAGCGTTTTCTTTCTTTCTTCTTGATAAACAAATGAATCATACATACTGTTTAACATTGATATTTTTCTTAAGCCGAT